CAAATCACTCACAGAGGGCACAAAGCAAGGCAGATGAGGGGGGTGACCTGGGAGAGTCCCGCGGGCCAGATGGAGAAGCCCCAGGGGACACATTTTGTCTCTGAGCTTGAGCTATAACACTCCTGAAGGCAAGCAAACAGGAGTGCCTAAGAATAGTGACTGTGTGTCGTTCTTGTGCTCCTGAAGAGGTCATTAGGAACACAAATGGGTTAATGAATTGGGGATTGGGCTTGCAAAAATCCATCTGTTTCACACACACAAACATTTGGGGCAGGGGAATAGTTCACTTTACCAAGAGAGGGGTTCTGAATTGGGTTCACTGCTCACCAGGGCTCACTTTTTGTTCCACCCAAAGCCTCTTACGAGTGTTGAAACCTGCAATGGAGTCTCAACTTTTTTTATGCCCTAGAAATTTCATCTCTCTCTCTCTCTCTCTCTCTCTCTCTCTCTCTCTCTCTCCTGTCAGCTTCCCCCCCACCCAATCAGAGGGTCTAAGCTGCACTAGTTTTTCCCCTCCTGATACTGCATAGAAATCTAAAATAAGCACCAAGAAACACACAGAGAGATGCGGCCCACATTTTTCATGTATAATCATTCACAGATGGAAGACTCTCAGGGACTGAGCACCTGCTTGGCAGGCAGAAGGTCTCAGGTTTGATCCCTGATCTCAGAGTTCAAGGACACCGGCCAGTCAGGCAAGAACACTTAGGGCCAGTGAAGGGGGTTGCCATGGAGACAGTGTTGCCTGGGGAAAGTCTCAAGGACCTGATACTGAGGTCTAGAAGGCCACATTTGGCCCCGAGGGATGAGGCTCCTCACCCCTACTATATAAACTTACTTGAGAGCAAACAACAGGGAAGTTTTTAATGTTTGACATCTTCTTGTGTTTTTAATATTCTGTTGGGAGTCACCCAGAGTGGCTGGGGCAACCTAGTCAGATGGGTGGCATATAAATAATAAAATTATTATTATTTTTATTGAATTCAATGGACTTACCAATTATATACCCAAATGGCTCCTAAGTGGTTTAAAACTCTAAAATCAATTGTAAAATTCATACGTAGCAATTCTTAATTAAAATTAATTAAAATAGGTGGCAAAACAAGGCAGTTTTTTGTTGTTGTTTTTTTTAAGCATGAGAATTGGGACAGTTATTAAGACAGTAAGATCAGATATTAAAGGGAAGGTTTGTGCCTCTAGGACCCAGTGGAATCCCAATCCTGATGGGTCCTTGTGTTTGTGGAACTGAAGGCAGGATCTGAACTGCATGTGGAACTGACATGGTACAGAAATTCATCAATTCCTAGTGTACGAAGCCTTGAACAGGTTGAATTGGTTCCGGTAGGGAGAGACAAACCTGCCAATTTAAATTTTGCTTAGTTTCCCATTTTTCAAACCTTTCAAAGTTCACCAAATTTCTGCATTCATTTGCTTTAAAAAAGAAAAAAGAAAGCAAAGCCACCAGCATTATAGTGCACACTTCCTTTAAGATGCACGTTTTTGCAAGCCATTTATGTGGAAATTGTTCAATTTAGCTGTTTACTTTGGATGTCTTATTTATGACATGCTATGTTTGTAATTATGTATTTTTTTTCATGTTGAGCATGGTTTCAACGCTGGCGTACAAATAAAATCAGGTATGTATGTTTGCATACCATTTCATGCATTTTTACCCACACTTGTCCCCTAAGATGCTCATTTTTGTGTGTGTGTGCACATTTTTGTGCTGGGAAACCGCATCTCAAAAGCCAGAGGAGAAATGCAGAGACGTATTCCATTTGGAAGTTAAAGGTAAAAAGGTAAAGGACCCCTGGACAGTTAAGTCCAGTCAAAGGCGATTATGGTGTTGCGGTGATCATCTCGCTTTCAGGCCGGGGGAGCCAGCGTTTGTCCACAGACAGCTTTTCAGGTCATGTGGCCAGCATGACTAAACCGCTTCTGGCACAACGGAACACTGTGATGGAAACCAGAGCTCACGGAAATGCCGTTTACCTTCCTGCCGCAGTGGTACCTATTTATCTACTTGCACTGGCGTGCTTTTGAACTACTAGGTTGGCAGGAGCTGGGACAGAGCAACGGAAGCTCACCACCGTCAAGAGGATTCAAACCACCAACCTTCTGATTGGCAAGCCCAAGAGGCCCAGTGGTTTAGACCACAGCGCCACCAGCATCCCTATTGTTCGGAAGGATAGCTGTGCTTCAAAATCTGCATGATCTGTGGAGCAGTGAGAATTAGGTAGGTCTGTACTGAAACGCAAACCGAGCCTAATTTCTCCCTTGTCCCCTAATGGCATTGTGTTTAGTACCTTGCTATTTCCATTTGTGAAATGCCAAGCTCGCCTGTGTTCTGTGATTGCACCTATCTGGGCTCTTCTAATTCTCAGGGACCGTGTGGAAGCCGCCGATAAGGTTCTCCTTTTGCCGTCTGCGGAAATGCATTTTGTGCTCTCTGATCTTTAAGCTACACTTCACACGCTGCTCATGGTGGCAAGCAGAGGATCAAGCAGGGAGTGGAAAGAGAAAGACAAGCACTGGGGACGCTGCCAAAAGGAACCTCCAAATCGCTAGCAAACAAATCTGCTGGTGGCAATAATTCATTCATTGATTCATTCATTTAAAAAAAAAAAAGCAAAAGTAGAGGTTCATGTTTGATTGTGAAGATACTTCCCCCCCAACCCCAGCACAGACATGCACGCATGCGGAGGCATTTTTAATTAGGATTTAAGCCTGCAAATGCAAATATAATCATTAACAACAACAACAACACACACACACACACACACACACACACACAAACCTGCCCCAACTCTGCTTTCTAATGTTTGCTTTTTACAGCCAATGAATTGTAAGGCCACTTCTCACCTTTTCAAAGAAGCAGTAAAGGGGCAGTGACTTGCGATTTGTCTTTCCCTAACATAAGAAATGGAAGGGAACCTTTGGAAGGAGAATCAGCCAGCAGTCTCACCATCAGCCCCATTCAAGAACATGGTACAATTCTTGGATCCAGAACCAAACCAAAGAAACCCAGTACCTGGGCTTTAGAATCTGTTTTCCTCCCCCCCCCCATTAAAACAACAACAAAATTCTAGTCCTGAAAGCTGAGGGAGATTAAACCTGGTTTTGAGCCCTGGGTTGCTTGGCTATTTATTGAATTTTATGTTAAAAGCATATCTAAACTACTTCATATTTAAAATCTCTAAATGGTGCACACAAGTAAGGGCCTGCCTGCTTGCCAGAGAAGAGGCAAACTTGAAGTAGGTGTTCAAAAGGTCTCCGTCCATTTGGCACATTTGCTGGTGCAAGTTGCTATCCTTTCGGTGACGCCTAGTATTCTTCACCCAGTGGGTTCCTTTGAAATACCAGACTACGACACTGGGCAGGGATTTGAACCTTGATCTCCCAGGTCCTAGTCCAACACTCCCTCACCAGCTGGATCTCTCAACCCTAGACTCAGCCTGTTTTTGTGTGCTTGTCCCCAACCGCTTGGCTCCCCCCCCCCTTTTTTGGGAGAAGAGCATCTGTTGACGATTCTTCAAACAGAACCTTAAATGAACAAGATTGCTCGAGTGGCACATCCCGGAGCGAGCCCATTTAAATCCATGCAAAGCAGGCAGCACTTTGCAAAACCAGCTCCTAATAGAGGTTATTAAAGTTCTCAGCTGCGTTAAGGAAAAAGCAGGAGCCCCACTGGGGCACAGATGCTTTGCCACATGGGTGTCATGTCGAGTTGGGTAAAGATGGACATTTGCAGGCAGTTCCTTTATTTGTCACCAGGAATCAGGATCTAAAGATTTAAACTGAGACAGAAAAAGGAAAGGAAATGGGGGCGGGGACACAGATTGGAGGGAGGTATTTCATTCGGAGTGGAGCCACTTGTGAAATTCAATCTTTGAGAGTTCCTGCATGAACTGACTTCCTCCATATAGATTTCCTCTGCCTAGCTGCAAGCCAATGTGGTGTTGTGGTTAGAGTGTTGGACTAGGACCTGGGAGACAAGGGTTCAAATCCCATCTGGAGCTTGGTGATCTAGAGTCACGAAGCTTAATCTACTTTTCAGGGGATTAACGGGGGGGGGGGGGGAGAACCACGTAGATGACACCTTGAGCTCCTTGGAGAAAAAGTTGGGATAGAAATGGCTTTTTTTTTCAGCTGGAGCTCAGCTCCGACATCTCTCAGATGGGCACCATTCCCATTCTAAGAGAACAAGGTGAGCTCCGGCACCTCTTTTTCTAGAAAAACAGCACTGAAGAATAGCAATAATGTACAGATGGAAATTTAGCTGTCTGCTGGAAGTCACAGACTGTGCAGCATGGCACTCCGCAGTTAAAATGTCTCAAAATGTATGCGTGGATGGGCATTTTGAGAGCTGGAAAAGGTTCAGCAAAGCACAATGGGCATGATGACCAATAGGCTGGAGCAACTTCTTTGTGAGGAAAGGTTGCAACATTTGGGGATTTTCCATAGACCAAAATGGTGAGTGAGGTTGGGTGGGAGCGAGACACATGACAAAGATGCATAAACTGATGCATGGTGCAGATCAGGGATGTCCAACCAGTAGATCGTGATCTATCGGTAGATCCCCGGCTGATCCTGGTAGATCGTGGGATCCTTATTGTGTACAAAAAGTTACGGGGGAGGGGAGCGAAAAAAACCTCTCTGCAATCCCCCCCCCCAAAAAAAACTCAACAACTCTGGGTAGATCACTGCCAGTTTTTTTAATGGGTAGATCACTGCCAGTTTTTTTTATACTGGGAGTAGATCACAGTCTCTTGGGAGTTGGACATGCTTGGTGTAGAGAAAGTGGACAGGGAGACGTTTTTCTCCCTTTTGCATGATACTAGGGGCCGTCCGATGAAGCTGAATGCTGGAAGATTCAGGACAGGCAAAAGGCATCTGCCTTCTACTGAATCAGACCTTAGGTCCATGCAGCTCAGTATTGTTAACACCGACCAGCAGAAACTCTCCAGGGTCTCAGAGTGGGGAATATTCCCATTCCTTCCTGGAAATGCCAGGGATTGAACCTGAGACCTTCTGCATGTGGGGCTGATGCTCTACCACTGAGCTATGTCCCTCCAAGCTTCAGTCCATTAGCAACCTTCTTAGTTAAAGGTAAAGGTACCCCTGACTGTTAGGTCCAGTCGCGGACGACTCTGGTGTTGCGCGCTCATCTCGCTCTATAGGCCGAGGGAGCCGGCGTTTGTCCGCAGACAGCTTCTGGGTCATGTAGCCAGCATGACTAAGCCGCTTCTGGTGAACCAGAGCAGTGCATGGAAATGCCATTAGCCGCTGGCATTTTTGCACTGCTTTTATTGTGGCAAAGTCTTTAAGAACTTACGGATCCCTTCACTGGGTTGGACTGATGTTTCCTGCCCCTCCACCTTTCACAACATGATCTGGTTCTGAGTGGAGGGCTTTAGATGGGTCCATGGGTACGCCACAAACAGAGGCACAATTCCAAGCACAATTCAAAGTGTTGGTGCTGACCTTTAAAGCCCTAAATGGCCTGGACCTTGTATACCTGAAGGAGTGTCTCCACCCCCGTTGCTCAGCCCAGACACTGAGGTCCATCTCAGAGGACCTTCTGGTAGTTCCCTCACTGCGAGAAGTGAGGTTACAGGGAACCAGGCTGAGGACCTTCTCTGTAGTGGCACCTGCCCTGTAGAACACCCTCCCACCAGATGTCAAGGAGATAAGTAACAATACAACTTTTAGAAGACATTTTAAGGCAACCCTATATAGGGAAGTTTTTAATGTTTAATGTTTTATTGTGTTTTGTATTTTTCTGGAAGCTGTCCAAAGAGGCTGAGGCAACCCAGTCAGATGGCTGGGGTACAAATAAAATAATCAAAATATTCAAGCTGACCACCATCCCTTGGAAAACCAAACTGAAACTCCGTCACCGATTTCAAGCTTTGATCTCATCTTTAAGCAATATCTTGATTGGGAGTGGGAGGCCAGAGTGCCAGCGTCACTGCTTCCCTCTGCCCTTAATTTGGTGCCAGTGCAGTGCTATGATGTGCGATGCCCACGACAGGAGCTGACATCTTAATCACTCATGCCAAGAGAGGGCTTCCATGTAATGCAGCTGTCAATCTTCCTGACAGGCCATGGTCCGGGGAGGGTTCCCCATTCTGAACAAAACGCCCCCTGCATTACTCCAGAACAAAAGGCACCAAAATATTTAGACACTGTCGGGGGTGGGGGGTGGGAGGGAAATGCATAATTAGCAATTGCTTTATGCTTCCCCCCAGCAAAAAAAATGTTGATGCTTTGCTATGTTGTGTTTTATTGGACTGCTGTTCACCACCCTGGGAATCTCCCAGTTGAAGTTCAGCTTAGAAATGTCAATAACTCCCAAGATGAACAACAAGAATAACAGACGGCTGAGCCAAGGAGTGGAAATACTACTGCTACTACTAGGTTTTATTAGACTTAATTCTACTCAGAGTATTATAGAATTAGAATAAAAGAATTGTTGAGTTGGAAGGGACCCAAAATGCCATCTAGATCTAGTCCAACCCTCTGCAATGCAGGAATCATAGCTAAATAGTAGACCTGCTGAAATTAATGGAGACGGTTAACTTAGGTCCATTGGGTGACAGCCACCAAAGTTTTACTCAAACTAGACCCGCTGAAACGATTAAAGCTAAGTTTTCTGTGCTCATTAACATCAGTAGATTTACCATGAGAAGGACAAGCAATGATACAACCCATTGATTTCAATGGCCCCACTCTTAATAGAACTTAGTTGGATGCAACCTGATTAATAATAATAATAATAAACCCCAGCAAAGCAGAGATTATCCTTTACTGATGATGATGATTTCATCTTTTTTGCAGAATAATAATAGTTACGTTGTTCTTTAGTCGTTTAGTCATGTCCCGACTCTTCGTGACCCCATGGACCAGAACACGCCAGGCACTCCTGTCTTCCACCGCCTCCCGCAGTTTGGTCAGGCTCATGTCTGTAGCTTTGATAACACTGTCCAACCATCTTGTCCTCTGTCGTCCCCTTCTGCTTGTGCCCTCCATCTTTCCCAACATCAGGGTCTTTTCCAGGGAGTCTTCTCTTCTCATGAGGTGGCCAAAGTATTGGAGCCTCAGCTTCACAATCTGTCCTTCCAGTGAGCACTCAGGGCTGATTTCCTTAAGAATGGATAGGTTTGATCTTTTTGCAGTCCAAGGGACTCTCAAGAGTCTCCTCCAGCACCATAATTCAAAAGCATCAATTCTTCGGCGATCAGACTTCTTGATGGTACAGCTCTCACTTCCATACATCACTACCGGGAAAACCATAGCTTTAACTATATGGACCTTTGTTGGCAAGGTGATGTCTCTGCTTTTTAAGATGCTGTCTAGGTTTGCCATCACCTTTCTCTCAAGGAGCAGGCATCTTTTAATAATAGTTATAGTTCTTGGCAAATGTGAGGAAACTGGGTGAAAATCAAATTTGCACTTCAAATATAAGTGCATAATGCAGTTCTGAGATGGTCCAAATAAGAGAGACTGTGCCAGATTAGGCCCAGTTCCATGTAAAACCTACAGTGGTACCTCGGGTTACATATTCTTCAGGTTACATACGCTTCAGGTTACAGACTCCGCTAACCCAGAAATAGTACCTCAGGTTAAGAACTTTGCTTCAGGATGAGAACAGAAATCGTGCTCTGGCAGCACAGCGGCAGCTGGAGGCCCCATTAGCTAAAGTGGTGCTTCAGGTTAAGAACAGTTTCAGGTTAAGAACAGACCTCCAGATCGAATTAAGGTCTTAACCCGAGGTACCACTGTACTGTAAAACTATGGTATAGCTCAGTCAGTAGTACATGAGACTCTTAATCTCAAAGTAGAGAGCTTGAGCCCCATGTTGGGCAAAAGATTCCTGCATTACAGGGGGTTGGACTAGATGACCCACAGGGTCCCTTCCAACTTTACAATTCTACAATTTCTATGGGCTAAATTATGAATCATTTGGAATGTGTGTGTGTGCGGGGGTGGGGGTTTGGCTGTGGAACTTTTGACAACTTTATATGTTTTGCAGCTTTAATTCGATGATCATTTTCATGCTGCTTGTTTACTGCTTAGCTGGCTCTGTGCGCACGTGCGCATCTGTTTAACTGAAAGGCAGAGCAGGAGTATTTGTTTTACAAAGCAAAGGAAACGCAAGACACAGCAGAGTGCTGATTCGAACTCAAGCCTTGAGAGCTAATTGCAAGGCGCCGTCGACAAAGACTGCACTTGGCGATCACATCATGTGTCGTTTAAAAATAAAGATGCTCAAATTATGAATGGCATGTTCCTGCAAATCATGTGAACCTCAGCTGCAGGTGCTGAAAACCTTCCATAGATTTGGATCTGAAACTGAGTATTTCATTCACTGCTTTGGGGGAATATAAATAAATAACCCTCTCCTCTTCCTGAATGAAAGCCTCCAAGGGAAAGCTTGTTACCCATTCATGTGGCATTCATAATATCAGACACAGCTGCAGGAACAATTATGTGTTCTGTAATCATTAATTCAACCCCTTTTTCCTCAAAAAAAGGGAAAAAGAAAAAAGCCAGGATTTTCACATCAAGTTTCTTCAGAGCTTCACAGAGATATATTTTAAACTTTTCAGAAAGTGTTTTTATTGGATTGGTGTTCCACCCCTGGGCAGGATGGAAAGAGATGCATGAAACGTACATCATCTGCAGAGCTTTCATGACTGCCAGGGAGGCCATGTGGACTGATTTCTGGGGCTGGTTTAGCTAACAGAGAAAGAGGGAGGGACTCAAACACTAGGGTCACATCTATCTGTGTTAAAAACAGCAACAACTACAAAAAACTCCCACCAGAGCAGATTCACTGGATCACCAATATCTCCAGGTAGAGCAGAGACATCACCTTGCCGATAAAGGTCCGTATAGTTAAAGCTATGGTTTTCCCAGTAGTGATGTATGGAAGTGAGAGCTGGACCATCAAGAAGGCTGATCGCCAAAGAATTGATTGACCATCATTCAAGGCACTCCAGGGTGCCACGACACACTGGTTGAAAACCACTGGTGTAGTTACAACAGAGCTTCAAAAGTATGGTGTGAATGTTTATCAACCAGCAGTTTGATTTTTTATTTATTTAAAAAAACCTTCCCTACCTCAATTTCATAAATAACGTCAAAGCAATTTTCAAAAAATATATATGCACACACAATAAAAACCACACAATTCTTGTAAAAATAGATCACCAGCTAACTATCACGGGTGTTTATCTTAATTGTCTGCATAAGCCTGGTGCTTCTGAATTATGGTGCTGGAGGAGACTCTTGAGAGTCCCATGGACTGCAAGAAGATCAAACCTATCCATTCTTAAGGAAATCAGCCCTGAGTGCTCACTGGAAGCAGAGATCCTGAAGCTGAGGCTCCAGTACTTTGGCCACCTCATGAGAAGAGAAGACTCCCTGGAAAAGACCCTGATGTTGGGAAAGATGGAGGGCACAAGGAGAAGGGGACGACAGAGGACGAGATGGTTGGACAGGGTTTTCGAAGCTACGAACATGAGTTTGACCAAGCAGCGGGAGGCAGTGGAAGACAGGAGTGCCTGGCATGCTCTGGTCCCTGGGGTCACGAAGAGTTGGACACAACTAAATGACTAAACAACAAGAGCTGGAAGACCCCTGTCTCAAGCGCTGGAGAGATGCTGACAGCCTACATAGACAGGGGTGGGAAACTGGATCCACCCCTATGGGCCACCATGATGAATCACCAAGAATCACCCACCCCACAGTCCCCAGTAGATGGGGTAGAGTCATGTTGGTCAACATCAGGTTGCAGTAGCTGAAGTGAAGGTAAGTGAGGTTTTGTCACCAAGGTGGCAAACAGAGCAGAATCAGACTGGAAGAGCAAGGCAGAGCTGATCAGCACCTTGGACAGAGCCTTGGCAGAAGACTTCTCAACTATACAGTATTGGGAGGAGCTGTTGTTTCAGCAAGGTGCAAAGGCCATTAGCGTTATATATTCTTCTTCTTCCTCTTCCTTCTCCTTCTGTATCTTAGAATGTTGTTTGTCAGTCTGTCTGTTCTATATGCTTTCGACCACTTCTA